TATCGTCTCCTCTGACGGTTATAGTACCAGTCAAACCTCTCTTATTCCTTGGGTGGAGAACCGACACTTGTGAACCAGACCGACCCCCGCTTTGCCTGCCTAGGCATTCCTTTAAGTCTCGAGAATGCTCGTTTTGTGACATAACCATTTTGGCGTATCTCGGGTTTGATTGCGTAAAAGGAACAATGGTAAAACATGTAGAAACTAGGAATGCATGCTTCTCTTAGCGTTCCTCACAGATAACGCCAACGATGGTTTTATCGGGACTGGGTCGATTATAAACTGGGTATGAAAGTATATAATCGGGGTACGAAAAAAGTAATATTATTGCTCGGAGAGCTAGACCCAAAATGGTAAGTACAAATTGTTGGGTAATAAGGTGGAAAATCCAAAAAATAATAATCCTACGAAAAGATTATAATTATATGGGAAAAGAGAAAACCGGGACGAAAAAGGTGGATGATTTGGAAAGTGGTTTAGCACGAGTTTGAACAAATCGTTATTTTCCTTAACACCTTATTTGCTACCTCCCACGAGTGCTAGGAGCGTTGTAGCCTAGGTTTCCCAGGATAAAACGTGCTTCGATTTAGTGTTTGAGGACCCAAATAAAGAATCCGGCAAACAAAGCAAAGGATGAACACAAGTGGCTAAAGAAAGAGAGTAAAAGCAGAGTTTTGGGGCTGAAAACATAGTGGAATTCCTTAAAATTGTTGTGTCTAAACTGCTACTGCTCTACCCTCTCTTATATAGGGATGTTGGAGTTATAGCATTCAACATGGTAATTAAATTGGTATTTAAACCAATTGTATAACACATGCAACAACCATGCCCACTAACTGGATTAAATTCAGAATTCAAAAATTGGAACTAAAACAATATTAGTTCTGTAACAGATAAATTTAATCTTCACAACAGTCAGAACACTTGCCCACTAACTGGGATTAAATTCAGAATTCAAATATTGGAATTAAAACAATATTAGTTCTGTAACAGATAAATTTAAATATTGGAATTAAAACAATATTAATTCTTTAATATGGCCACTTTCGGCTGATTCAAGCCTTTTCAATCTCATTCTGGGATTTGATTTGCACCCCCCTCCCCCGCGCGAGAGAGGGCCTCTATGCTATACAATTCAATAAGCTTAAAAAGAGCTCTTGTATAAATAGTGGGACAAATCCACTTCCAAAACCAATGTGGGACAAAACTTCATTTTCCCCTTCATTTTTCCAACTCAAATGGGTCTACTTTGAGAATCAATATCTCATTCACCCATTATCCGTTTTGAGCGTACAATTTATCAATCTCTTCATCTCACTACGAAGAACCCGAATACACTTTGACCCGACCCAAATCGGAAGTGGACCCCACTAATAATTGTACCACAAAATAGCTACTTAACATGCCATTGTATGTCATTTTAAGCTATTTTTTCCAGCACAAATCCTGAGATACTGGCCCAAAATGGCCCAGGGGCTATTTAGTGACTAGAAATGATAATATAGTCGGGTGTTGTTATTGGAAGTTAGGATCACAAACCACTGGACCAAGGGCGATTTAGTGAACCAAGGGGCAATGTAAAAGGAGACATCAAGCCCCTTATATAATGTTGAAGACCTTCCGGATGGTTGACAAATGTATGGCTCTAGCTTGCCTTCATTATTGGCCATAAATGTGTCCCGGATACCAACAATTTCACATGGGTAAGTATAACATCTTGCCTTTTGGTACATTAGGTGGTTAGGTTGGTGTTTGTGTTGTTATCCCATATGGCATATGTTTGTGTTGTTATCCCATAGGGTATGTTCAAATCCTCATAGTTGAACCCTCTTAGTTCAACCTTCTTAGTTTTTAGCATTTTATTCCCTCCTTTTTGTCACTGAGCTTCCTTCCTCCTTAGCGATAAAAATAAACCCACATCCTTCGGTCAAGACTTTCTCAATAAAATAGATCCGGGACACACACACACACACACACACACACACACACACACACACACACACACACACACACACACACACACATATATATATATATATATATATATATATATCTGTGTGTGTGTGTGTATCGATCTATTTTATATATTTATTTATTTTTATTTTAATTAAATAAATAATTAATTAATTAATTATTTTGATTCCAATTATTATTTATTACCAAACAAATTAAAGTGTCTTATTCTATTGAAACACATTACCATTACCAATTAAAGTATTTGATTCTCATTACCATTTTAATTCCAATGTTTGAACCAAACACGCCCTTATATTTATACGTGAATCTATACTATATATAAAAACAAAATCCTGAAATTTTAACTTTTCGCCCAATTCCTAAAAAATCTCTCATCCCAATAAAATATATTGATCTTTCCCATTTGTACAATAATTCTGGGTAAAAATTCTATTATGAAATTATAAAATAGTGTAATACAATTTCCTTTGCACATCTAATCTATACTATATATAAAAACAAAATCCTGAAATTTTAACTTCCCGCCCAATTCCTAAAAAATCTCTCTTCCCAATAAAATATATTAACTTCTACTTTTCCATTCGTACAATAATTCTGGGTAAAAATTCTATTCTAAAATTATAAAATAGTGTAATACAATTCCCTTTGCACATCTAATCTATACTATATATAAAAACAAAATCCTGAAATTTTAACTTTCCGCCCAATTCCTAAAAAATCTCTCCTCCCAATAAAATATATTGATCTTTCCCATTCGTACAATAATTCTGGGTAAAAACTCTATTCTGAAATTATAAAATAGTGTAATACAATTCCCTTTGCACATCTAATCTATACTATATATAAAAACAAAATCCTGAAATTTTAACTTCCCGCCCAATTCCTAAAAAATCTCTCTTCCCAATAAAATATATTGATCTTTCCCATTCGTACAATAATTCTGGGTAAAAGATGTGAAGTGTCAAAAGTTTGGCAAGGCATAACTTTTGACTCGGTTGTCCATTTTGGACAAATATTTTTTTGAAATTGCGTATTTTTTCGAGATCTATCCACCGCAAACTGCCGTAGGCGGTTTGGCCCACCAATTTCTATAAAAAATGCTTTATTAAATAGTCTCTAAGAAAAAACTATGTGAACCTTATGTTTTATTAATGAATTTTTTAATTTTTTAATTAAAAAATTGTCCCGTGCATTTTTTAATAATCTCTCTTTATAATTGGTCAAATTATTTAATTATGGTAAATTAGGAAATAATTAATGATGGTAATAGAAATCCTAGAAGAATATAGAATTGAAGAATATTTCATTATTGTTATATTCTTCCAAAAAGAAGAACCCCAACCCTAAGGGCCCTACAAAGCATTTGGTGACTCAACTAACTAAACATAAACCACATAGGCTAGACCAGACCGGTGCGCACCGCGCACAAGAAACCCCCCTCACTTTGAGAGGTTGCTCCCACACTATTGCTGGTGAGACTCGATCCCTGGTCATTCTTCCAAAGTTTCACCTCTATGACCAGTTGAGCTACCCATGCGGGCTTAATTATTATTACCTTATTATTGTGACTCACGGATTACAATACAAGAATATTTAATTATGGTTATATTATTATTGTGTGCCTCACGGCCATTATATACTAACAAAACTTGAAACGAAACTAATAATAATAATAATAATAATAATAATAATAATAATAATAATAATAATAATAATAATAATAATAATAATATAAGTGGTAAAAATAATATCTAAAAGTAATTAAGTATTAATAATAATAGTAAGAATATTAACGTAAGAATTGTAATATAGAATAAATCGTAATAATTAATAACTATAGTCTAGGATTAAATTTGGAATTATCAGAAAAAATAAGCGACCTCTGGTGAAATTAACTCTTAAATAATTATATATCGACTTAAATATTCTTAATATATTACAACAATTCTATTCCGTGCATCGCACGAGTGAAAATACTAGTATTGAAAAAAAAAAAAAGTCGTCAATTTTAGTAGGCATTTTAAAATTTGATGTATTTCGAAGTTGATTTATTATAGTCTTTTGACTTGTTGCAATATCAAATTCAACAATTTTTTAGACTTTAGGTTAATTGAATTCAACTGTGCTAGTTGGAGTAGTTTTTAAATTATTAATAATAATTCATCTTTATTTTTTGAAAACATAATAATTCATCTTTATATTCACCATATATTCAATTTAATTCTTCAGCTTTTGTTAAGATCAAACGCTTACCACTACGCTAATGGTGCGTTTGGAAATCCGGAAAATGACTTTCTCGAAAATGTTTTTCGAGTTTCCAGTGTTTGGCAAGAGGGAGGAAAATGAGGCCAATGAAAAATAAGTATGTTTTGGGGGAAAATGACTTCCTTTTTTTTTTTTTTTTTTTTGGGAAAGTCATTTTCCAATTCTCATGTTTGGTATGTATAGCATATAGTTTCTGTGTGTGTGATGTGTGTATATATATATATATATATTGGTTCCTGTGAGGTCAGGTATTCCCGTGCGGTCAGTGCAGCATACACCATTAGGTATGCATAAATGCACCATAAGTATTCGAAAATACACAATAATGAAATGCCAAAAATACACCAAAAAAAAAAAAAATACACAACACATAATGTTGTATTTACGAACACTATGTGGTGCATTTATGCATACCTAATGGTGTATGCCGCACTGACCGCACGGGAAGACCTGACCTCACAGGAACCTAACCCTATATATATATATATATATATATATATATATATATATATATGATTATATTCAAATACAAATAGTCCTTAAAATACAAACATGAGGATTGTTTAGGATCGTTAGATTTTGGGGTTGGATGAATATGATTGATTTAATTATTTTTGGGGAGTTAAATTTTGTGCGCCTGTTTTTTATTATTAGGGGGGTATTTTTGGGTTTTAACTCTTGGTGTAATCGTATCAGATTCCACGCGCTGGGTTAATTATTGAGCCCGATTTCTCTCTCTCTCTTTAGAGATCGTTTGCTGCACAACCCGTTCGATTTCCCTCTTCATCACCAGCGGATGATGGTCGTTGGTGGACTCGGATTCGTCGTTGTCTACTTCGATGGACTCGGATTTTAACCGGAAGTCGAAGAGGGGAAGGCGAAAGGTGGCGGCGCTTAAATTAATAAAGATGGCTATGGTGAACTTGTCGTGGAGTGACGAGGACAAAGCCATGGTGGCGGCGGTTTTGGGGACTAAGGCTTTTGATTATTTGATTTCGAGCTCGGTTTCAGGGAGCCCAGCGAAGGAGAGGAGTCTGAAGGTACCCGGATTCTAAATTTGCTTCTAGAAGACGAGACCCAGCAGAGAATGAGGAAGAGGGTTATCTATAAGCTGCATATGAAAGCAAAGTACTTTCCCCCCAAAGAGGATGTAATTCTGCAGAATGAAGCACCAACAGACTTCTATATTCTTGTGACATGAGCTGTGGTAATTGTTATCTCTATCAATAATTTGAATAGAAAACATTAAGTTCATATACAATAAATTTACTTCCTTTGCATTTGAAGTCTAATATACTTTATTGATGAAATTTCTTGACAGGACCTACTTGTTTATAGAAATGGAGTTGAACAGGCAAGTGGATTGTGAAAACCTACAGCTTCCCTATGTTTTCATGGAAGTTCTTCTTAGATTACCACATATTAATCCATATGGATTTGTCTTCATCCTTTTTTTTTTTTTTTTTTTGTATGATTCATAACTCTGTCTGAGATAGTTATAACATTGTGGAGGCAAAGACTGGCGATCCTTGTGGTAAGATTGGGGTTCTTTGTTATAGACCTTAGTTATTCACAGTACGTACTAAAAGATTGAGTCGGCTATTATGAATAAATCGTACTGCGTTGCTAAATATTGTTTATGCTAATGTTGGAGCCATAATTATGAATAACCTCCTCCAGGTCTAGAATGCCATCTGTAGAATGCCCCCGATTATGAACTCACACCGGAAGAGGCTGCTATGTTTCCTCGGGTAAAGACAAAGGGTACCGAAAATAAGGTTGTATCCGCAAATATACAAGTATGAACTTAGTAATGCATAGACATTTACACTAAGATGCACACAGTCTATTTGTAAATTATTCAAGACCGTCTTGTCATGTTAGCTACCACACATTGCAATACATGCACACATCTCAAGATATGATTCCAAATCAGTGTTGGTTTCACATTTTTCATTTTTTGCTTCCATGTAAACGCTCGTAATATTTAGTAATTATTGTGTGTGCATGGAGCAACCTGTATTCTGTGTTCGAATCATATTATTGAAGAAGGGGATTTATATGAGCATGTATTCAATTACTGGGTGTGCTAATAGACCTACAAGATGTTAGCATGTGCATTCTAGTGATTTAGTAATGGCTATCTTCAAAGGAAAAGAAAATTGCATTCAAATTCACAATGGAATCTTGCTGGATTGTTGTCAAGAAGGTTGTGTCCAATTAAAATTACATATTTGAATCCTACCAAACTTACGGCTTGCATTCAAATTCACAATATATGGAATCCTACCAAATTTACAATTCCTCTAATTCCAAACAAATTCCGTATTTAACCAATGCATGCATTACCAGTATTATCCCTTTTTAAAATTAAACACCTAAATTAATTCCTATATATATATATATATATATATATATATATATATATATATATATATATATATATATATATATATGGGTTGCATTCACATGCAAACACCCTTAAAATCAAATTGTTCACACGTTTGTATTTTAAGGGTGTTTGCATGTGAATGCTACCCTATAATATATATATATATATATATATATATATATATATATATATATATATATATATTTATTTATTTATTTATTTATTTACGGTATGTATTTAATGAGTGCTATTTACAAAAAAAAAAAAAATATTATCAAATAATTAAAATGTTGAAGTATACAATTCTTACCATTTTTCTATTCATTTTCTGGAAAATGAACCAAACACTCAAAGACAATTTTCCATTGTGTAGCCAAACATGAAAAATTAAAATGTTTTCTGAAAAATGACTCATTTTCTGAAAAATATTTTCCAGAAGTCATTTTCATTCTTTCCAAACATAGCCTAAATGTTATAGTTTGTAGTGAAGGCATAACTTTATTTTCCTATACCATGCTCACATTTTCAAGACCTAGGATGCTAGACTTGACCCTTTAGACCTTCGTCCAACAATCCTTCTAACCACTTGGTGCTGGACAATTGTCTCTTTCACCAACTTCCACCCAACAACTTTCATCTTCCCAGCTCATTTTTTTTCTCAAATTTCTAATCCTTTTTTTTTTTTTTTTGGCTAAACTAAAGTGGAATATAATTTGCCATGTTTTATATCGCGATAAGATATTCTTTAAATTTGGAATCTCTTAATTATTCAACACTTTTAAAAAAAAAAAAAAATTAAATGTGATTGAATTCCTAGAGTGACCAGGACTATGTGGTCTAATGGTATCCGGGTTGGATTTCCATTTGGAAGGTTATAAGTTCGAGCCTCAGTGGAGGCGTTATTAGCTCTTTGTGTTTCAGTAGGTTGAGAAAGTATATGAACAGATATTACAATGTAATAGAGCTAGTAGCATTCAAAAAAAAAGAATTCCTAGAGTGTAATCTGATTTTAGTGTGATTTTTTAATTTTCAATTTATTAATATCTGACTGTATAAAGGTTAGGTAGAGGAATTGTATTAGTTCACGTTCTTGAAAAGCAGTTAAATTTTAATTTGGAATGGTCAAAGCCCATTTCCGGCTTCAATTCCTTCGGATTGAAGGGTTCCAAAACTTAACAGCCAACTTGTATAATACTGCCCAGTTTGATCTATACAAAATCTCAAATTTTAAACTGTTTTACTAAAAGTGATTAGAATTTGTTAAATTCATTAGTTAGAAAATGCGCAGTGACACTATTATACAAAAATAGGGTTTACACAATGCACACCCTTCAGTAATAGTTGCAGTTTCTTATTGACATCCAAAAATAAAAATAAAAATAAAAATGTGTGTTATACAAAAATTAATGTATAAGTATAAAGTAAAAGTGATTG